AGGAAGAAGAAGAAGAAAGAAGAGGAAGAAAAAAAAAGAAAAAAGAGAAAGGAAGAAGATGAACGAATTATTTTATTTTATTTTTTAAAAATATAAATAGTAATAATGTGAGATGGCATAAAAAAAATTTCACGTCTAACATGTTTTCAATTTGTTTTTGCCACGTCATCAAAAAAATTATAAAAAATGCCACATAAGCGAGTTAATGATCGAAATTAACAGAAGGACTAACGGAGTGCATTTCGTATAGTTGAGGGATCAAAAAAGTGCAAAAAATTGTTAAGGGACCAAAAATGTGCAACTCACTAAAGTTGAGGGACCAAATTTAGCATTTAACCAAGTATATATGGCAATCACACACCATTGTTTTAAATACCCACGATATTTAGTTAATAATAATTAACCTCCAAAGCAGTCCAAAACTTCATACCTTTTGAAGTATGATCACTAGAGGTCAAGCAAAATAAGAAAATATATCGTAATAAAAGCTAAAACTAACAGTTTAAAGTCCTAATAGAAATAAAGCCAACCATGCAAAGTATGCGGATAATGTGCGTAGCAGAAAAATAAAAAAACTAAGGACCCTGATAGTCTGGATCAAAAGTAGGATGGTATGCATCATCATTTTGAGGCGGAAACTGCCGTTGCTGTTGATATTCAAGGACCATATGAGAGGTTTGTGTAGAATTAGTGGAGTAGGTGAAAGCTGAATTCATGTGAAGACTTGAGCCATGACCATGTGACAGCTGTGGTGGGGCAACTAGATGATGACCTGCCTGAGGGGAGATGCCATGAGCGGCTAGAGCTGCTGCAACAGACTGTGCGATTGTCTGGCTCATATTATTCTGAGCTTCTGTCATATTGGCCAGCTGCTGTTGCATCAAAGCAATTTGTTGGCGTTGTCTTTCTAACTCATCATGATCTTTTGCCTGTGTCTCCTCATAGTCAGATGCCATCAGTGTTGCTATTAAGTTTTCTCGGGGTTGTCTCTTCCTGTAAGTAAAACCAACCATCTCTGGATTTACTTGGGAGCCAATCGTTGGCATGAAATTAGATGAGCAACCTCCAACAGCCTTAACCCATGCCTCATTATCCATGCGTGGCCACAAACTAGCATCATAGCCATGACTATCTGTGCACTCCACAACATAAGTATCCTGAAAAAATAATAGTAATAGTAATAATGTTGTCAAAAGTAGTTTGAAAAGAATCTATAAAAAAAAAGTAGACTTTGCTAAATAATTTAGATTA